GTTGGGAAAGGTGTGTCAAAGAAGAAAAAGTGGACTGTGCATTATCCAAACATTCCATCAGCTATACGCCCAGTACCCCACGGAGAAGGACTGCCGGTTCCTGATGCACCAGAATCATTCTCACTTGAGTCAGACGAGGAAGAGGAAGAGAATGAAACTTCTGGTCCTGAACCATCAATGTCACAGGACCCACATTTTCTCCAATCCTCCTCCTCTGAACCACACCTCATAACACAAGGTGAACTGAATGACCTTGTCAGGGATTTGGAACTACCCAAGAGTAAGGCAGAGCTGTTGGGCTCCAGACTACAGCAGTGGAATCTCCTGGCAGGTGATGTTAGGGTTTCCATGTTCCATGACCGTCAAAAGGATCTTGTCCCATTCTTCTTCATGGAAGGCGATCTTGTAGCCTGCAACAACATCGATGGTGTGATGGCAGCCCTCAACATCGTTCACGATCCAGATGAGTGGAGACTGTTCATTGATTCATCGAAGACGAGTCTTAAAGCTGTTTTACTGCATAATGGCAATATTTTGCCATCAATTCCAGTTGGTCATGCAGTCCATATGAAGGAAACCTAGGACAACATGAAACAACTTTTGAGGTGCATAAACTATGACCAACATCAGTGGCAGCTTTGTGGCGATTTGAAGGTTGTTGCTCTCTTGCTTGGTCTGCAGACTGGATTCACAAAGTACTGCTGTTTTCTCTGCGAATGGGATAGTCGTGCAAGAGATTCCCACTACATCAAGAAAGATTGGCCACTCCGACAGTCATTGGAGCCTGGGAGGAAAAGTGTTCAGCATCCACCACTTGTTGAATCAAGGAAGATTTTGTTACCACCCTTACACATCAAGCTGGGTCTGATGAAGAACTTTGTCAAGGCCATTGACAAAACACAAGCAGCTTTCAAGTACCTCCGTGGAAAATTTCCAAGGTTAAGTGAAGCTAAGATAAAGGAAGGTGTCTTTGTTGGTCCTCAGATTCGTGAACTTCTTCGAGATGATGCATTTGACCATGCACTGCGTGGCAAGGAAAAGACGGCATGGAAAGCCTTCCAGTTAGTGGCAATAAATTTTCTCAGAAACAACAAGGCAGACAACTACAGGTTGTTGGTGGAAAACCTCCTCAAGGCATTCAAAAGCCTTGGTTGCAACATGTCACTGAAGATACATTTTTTGCACTCTCATCTAGATTTTTTTCCACCGAACTGCGGAGCAGTGACCGACGAGCACGGCGAGCGATTTCACCAGGACATTGCAACAATGGAGAAACACTATCAGGGCAAATGGAGCCCTTGCAGACTATTGCTGGACAGTGACAAGAGATGCTCCATTTAATGAATACAAGAGACTAGCCAAGAAGCGCCGAGTAGACACTGAATAGGACTAAACTATGTACATAATAGTTTTTTGCCTTTTGTTTCATAAAAATTTTTATTTATATAACCCTTTTGCTGATTTTTAAAGTGTTACATAAACAGGACAGGTGAAATATTATCATGTAAAGCAACCATAAACACATGAAAAGACCTAGGTTTACAATTTATGATTAAAACTCTACTATCTACACAATATACATAGACATAAAATGTAAAAACTTAAATATCTTAGAAACAGTAGCCAATCAGTTGTTTTAATTGTCATATTTGAATTCAGCACATCAAAATACATAATAAATAGCACATTTTATCTCTGAAGCAGACGACTTCTCAAAAATTGTAGACCAGTGTAATATAATAGACCCACTTCTGATCTCACTGACACCGTTGTACTTCAGAATTACCTCCGTTGAAGACAGTGGAGTTTGATTTAAAATCAAGGTAGTTGAGATGAGAATTAGGTAGTTTTAGAACTGTGCCTTGGGGTTAGGGGATAGGCACATTTAAATATAAATATACAAATTTCACCTTCCTCACCCACTCCTTTGGGTTTCATCTGTATAAATCCCAGTTAGTTTTTATGTGAATTTAACCCAATGTGAATGCTTAGAAGAAGGGGAAGTCTTTATAAGGCTACTACAAAGGATCTTGGCCTTTCTGCTAAAACTGGGGAGCAGGGTCATTATTAGTGTGGGGGGAGTGGATTTGGTCATGTGGATGGCCACTCTCCTTGAACTGAACTGAGACCATCTTATTTCATATAAGTCACCTAAGAGCCATCTGATGGCTCTTATCTCTTGGTGACTACCAACTTGTCTGCATCTAGCAGATGAGAGGTGACCTAGGCAATGGTAGTTTTGCCTGAGAAAGGACTGCAGCATTGGGTCCATAAATACAAAATGCTATTTCCCTTTTCATAACCCTTGAGCCATTCAGTCCTCTATAAGGAGGGAAACTCTTATTTAACCCCAAATATCTGAAACAATAGCAAGTTCCTCTTTCAAACTTGTTCCAATATGAAAGTCCCTTGGTAAGGGGAAAAAATAGCACCACAATGAGACCCAGGGCCTGATTCTCCTTTGCCTTGCACCTTGTGCAATCACTTACACCAGAGTTAAGTGAGGGCAAAGTGGATGTAAAATACTGCTGTAGTTGTGGTGTATTGAGGGCTGTGTTGGAACTGCAAGCTGTCACTTCAAGAGTGGTGGGGGTTCCTATTCCTGGTGATAAGCCAGGAGGCTTTGTAGCAAAGTGTATGATCAGAGTCAGTCTGGAAAGAGTCATCTTAAAGCAAGGTGGGGTGAGTTGTGCCTCACTGCTTTAGGGGGCAACCTGTTTTCTCTCTCTCTGTTTTTTGGTTTTTGTGTGTTATCATTCTGAATGCTAAGTAATGAAGTAGTTTTATATTGCAACTTGCCAGCAAGAGTATTTATATTGTTATCTAATTTCTCTGTGTGTATGCTATGAACATAACAGTAATGTTATAGGAATAGGGTAGCACCTCTTTAAATAGCTTGAGTCCTCTATTGGCACTCAGTGTTTTTAAGTCTCCAGAAACCAGCCAGAACAGCAGTATGTAGATAGATAGACCTTGAATTTTTAAGTGTGTGTACATATAGTAAATATGGTTATTTGGGCCAACGGTGTGACCATGTGATTTCTTTGTGTTGTGTAAAGAGAAAAAAACACCACAACTGCCATTGCAGTTTGGTATTATTTTACACCCACTGGTATACATGCCTGCACACAGTGCAGAACAATGGAGTATGAGGCCTGGAATATTTATTCAGATAAAGCAATTAAATGAACCATTTTTAATCCTGGCCAAAAAATGCTTTCTGGTGTGACTTTAATAATATTTTAAAAAACCAAACTTCCCTACATGCTCCAAAACAGCATTTTAGTCCTGAACAACTGGTACTTATCAGCCAAGGTAAAGTACATTCTGATGCTTAGTTCACTGTCAGAGTCCACTCTCCAGAAAGAAACAGTGGGGGACATTTCACATGTATTGGTGTTTATGTGACTTGGCTTTTGTAGACTGCATTATTAGTTGACCGGTTAACTAAAAAGCTGTCCTAAAATTCTGAATTAAAAGTTAATTTTTAGCCAATCGGTAACCTTTCTTAGTTAGTTACAAACCTTTTAATCAACTTGGATAAATTCTTTGTCCAAAATAAAAAGCACAGCTTGTAGTTCAGTGTCTCTAGTTCCCCACCCACTATCAAGAAAGCGGCAAAAAGAAGAACATAAATAGGTAAGGGTTTTCTTTTAATATGCAATATAGAAAATAGTGCTAAATAAATATCCTGACTTTTCCTGAATAGAAAACTTTCATGAGTTAGGAATGTAGCCCCAAACCTTCAGTAATAGAGCTGGGTGGGAATTTTAACCTGGCTATTCTGCATCCCAGAGGAGTGCGCTAACCACCTGGCACTTTGGCTCTTCTTGTGTGGATGTCTCTCCATCTCTCCTGTTGGAGCTGTTCCGTTTTGTATAAATTAAATATTCATTGGGCCAGAGAGAGAATCAGGCAGAGCAGAGACACCCAACTGGGCTATAGAATCAGTCTCGCTATACAAATAATTAAATATTTACTAGGTCAAAGTGGAACAGCTCCAAAAGCTGAGATTGAAAGAGCGGTCGCAAGTAAGCGTCCTCACCACTGGGCTATTGGCTATTCTGGGCTGGATGTCTCTCACTCTTGGTTTTTTTTTGCAAAACTTTTTTGAGAGGTTTTCACTTTATTCTAATATGGAACAAAAAAAAATCACAACCTCACATTTTTTTCATAAAACAGAATTCTTGGTTTCCCATCAGCTCTAGTCGTGGCACTGTTATCTGTCTTGGAAAAAGGCTTTACAAAGTTTTACAAAAACAGCATTTCAAACAGTTGCTATCGGACTGTGAAAGTGCTTTCTATCTACTAACCAAATGTCAGATCCTGCCAGCACTTCACATGGAGAACTTCCATTGTAGTTATAAGGCTTGCAGGATGAAACTCCATTTCTTTGCCCAACGTAAATTACTGCCAGATTTGGTGAGAGGCTGAGATCTTCCTGCAGCTTGCTGAATGCCTTCTGCTCCTGTGGAGTACAATGGAAGCTGCTTTGCATGGCTGAGTCTTTTTTCTGGAGAATTTGCTGAATGAGAAAAGTGTGAATACTAGAACCAGCCATGTGGCCACAAGGGGTCCCACTGCTTCAGTCAGAATTGTATTCAAACAAATGGTTGCCTTTTTGTGCACTAGGTAGGCAGCTCTTTGGAGAACACACTAAGCTTTTGTGTTTATTTTTAAACTACCTTCCTTGATAGCAGTTCCATTAGGAAGATCGTACCTTCAAGTAGGGTGACCAGATGTCCCGATTTTATAGGGACAGTCCCGATTTTTGGGTCTTTTTCTTATATAGGCTCCTATTATCCCCCTACCCCGTCCCGATTTTTCACACTTGCTGTCTGGTCACCCTACCTTCAAGAAAAAACCCACCATTTGTTTGCCAGACTAACCCTTCCTGTAACTGAAGACTCATCTCATTTCAAATGTTCAGTTTACTATTAACATGATGCAAACCCAGGTATTCTCCAGCCTTTTAATTTTATGAAGAAATTCTTTCATAGGATCCACTTCCTATCAACAAACCCCACCTCCACTCCCGACTCTGCTTGGTCCTCAAAATATTTCATTCTATGGACGACTTGCTTGTTGACTTCAAAGCATCATACCCAGATCCACAGCACCTGACTGTGATGCCATAAACCAGAGAGTCACTTCAAGCAACAACTAAGGCAGGGGTGGGCAAACTTTTTGGGCCAAGGGCCACATCTGGGTGGGAAAATTGTATGCAGGGCAGGGGGTTGGGGTGTAGGAGGGAGTGTGGGGTGTGGGAGGGGGTGCGGTGTGCAGCTTGGGGTGCAGGAGGGGTGTGGGATGTATGAGGGGGCTCAGGGAAAGGGGTTGGGGTGCAGAGTGCAGGAGGGGGTTCAGGGCAGGGGTGCAGGAGGGGTGTGGACTGCGGGAGGGGGCTCAGGGCAGGGGGTTGGGGTGCAGGAGGGGTGTGAGGTGCAGGCAGGGGGCTTAGGGCAGGGAGTTGGGGGGCGGGGTGCAGGAGAGGTTCGGGCTCTGGCCCGGCGCTGCTTATCTAAAGCGGCACTGGGGTGGCAGCGGCGCGCACCGGGGCCAGGACAGGCTCCCTCCCTCCCTGCCTGCCTGCTCTGTCCCCGGCCCCGCGCCGCTCCTGGGGGTGGGGGGCAGAAGGCTCCCCGTGCGCTGCCCTTGCCGCACCTCCAGGTACCTCCCCCGAAGCTCCCATTGGCCGCGGTTCCCCGTTCCCGGCCAATGGGAGCTGCGGGGGGCGGGGCCTGGAGGCAAGGGCAATGCATTGAGCCCTCTGCCCCCCCGCCCGGGGGCCACAGGGACATGGTGCCATCCACTTCTGAGATCCTGTGGGCCAGAGCCAAAGCCCTGAACTAAGGTCTATCTTAGTTAGGGGTGTGACTTTTCTATCAAAATAATTAAATCACTACAGCACCTTGTGTGGATGCAGTTATCTGTATAAAGGTAATGAGGGCTTGTCGACACTACAGAGCATTTGCTGATATAGCTATGCTGACAGAGACCCCAAGCTCAGAGACAGCATAAGCAGGCAGAAGGAGTTCTGCTGCAATAGTTACACCATATCCCCAAACAACATTAGCTAAGCTGACAGAAGCACTCCTCCATTGGCATAGTTGCGTCTACACCTGCGGTTTTCTCTGCATGACTTTTTTCACACTCCTAGATGCTAAAACTTTGTAGTGTAGATCAAGGATTACATCTCTATAGTTTATTCGTGTTACCGACAGTAACAGCTATGTGATATAAGGTGCCTTTATCCTGATATAACCCACTAGAGTGGGTTGTACTGATACAGTTAAAGCAGTACAACTTGTGCGTAGACAAGGCTGAAGCTGCAAAACAGAACACTTAAAAAGCAAAGATCCTCTTTTCTTATTAATGACTGTGGAATAAAAAGAGGAAAGTGAAACACAGAAAATGTGCTTATTAATAAGGAGTGGAAGTGCTAAAAATATATCATATGCATTATTTCTAAAACCAATTGTTTTAAAACTTTTCCAGGGGCTGTTAACTGCTCTTTAAGGTCAGACCAATTCAAATGCATTAGGATTTGAACACTATAGTGTTTGTTTTCTCCTTTGCTATTCCATGCCTGTGCCATCCTATGAAACTAGTGCCTGATGGTTTTTTGTTGCAACAATGAGCTGCTTTAGTGTCACCAGAAGGCTCCCTTCTGTTTATTAAACCAACTCCCCGTACACAGCTCTTTCTGGTTACTACACAAATGCTAACTAGAAGTTGCTGTTTTGTGTATTGGTAGTGCAAGTACCATATAGTTTCTTCTCTTAATTCTTCTTAATTACACACACACACACACACACACACACACACTGAACAGCACAACATGGTTGCTATCTAATTCCTTTTTGGATTTACAGTATTTGGTCACCTTGCTACCTGTGGGGGCTCTGTGAGTATTTTCTCATCTCTCTCTTTTCAGGTTTTTCATATACATGTATACTCTCTTGCTTAAAAGAGCAGAATTGCACAAAAATCTGTTTAACAAGTCATTAGATCCCCTCCAGTTGGACACTGGCAGAATCAATCATTTTACTCTTGTTTTTCCCACAGCACTTTAGTTTCTTTGCTATTTTTCAACCCAGTTTAAATAAAAATAAAATCATGGGCTTTATTTGTGGATTGTAGCATTGCCAGTTGTCTGATTGTTGACCAGAACGCCTGGTTGAAAAGGTACCTTGGTGGTTCTAGTCAGCACCGCGGCCAATGGGAGCTGCAGGGGCAGCGCCTGCGGGTACAGGCAGCACACACTGTGCAGAGCCACCTGGCTGCCCCTGCACCTAGGAGGTAGACATGCTGACTGCTTCTGGGAGCCGCGGGGAGACTGCTTTGGCCCTGCTACGCCTCTGACCGGGAGCCACCTGAGGTAAGCGCCGCCCAGCTGGAGCCTGAATCCCCACCCACACCCCAACCCCCAGCCCAGAACCCCCTCCCACACCCAAATTCCCTCCCGGAGCCCACACCCCCTCCCACACTCCAAACTGCTTGGCCCCACCCCAGAGCCCACACTCCCAGCTGGAGCCCTCACTCCCTCCTGCATCCTGAACCCCTCATTTCTGGTCCAACCCCAGAGCCTGCACCCCCGGCCAGAGCCCTCATCCCCTCCCACACCCCTGCCCCAGCCCAGTGAAAGTGAGTGAGGGTGTGGGAGAGCAAGCGACGGAGGGAGGAGGGATGGAGTGAGTGGGGGCAGGGCTTCAGAGAAGGGGCAGGGCAGGGGCGAGGCCTAAGGGAAGGAGTGGGGCAGGGGGTGGGACAAGGGCGTTCAGTTTTGTGCCATTAGAACAGAGGTGGGCAAACTACGGCCCGTGGGCCCATCCTGCCCGGCCTTTCAGCTCCCGGCCGGGGAGGCTAACCCCCGGCCCTCCCCTGCTGTCCCCTCTCCCCCACAGCCTTGCTGCCACGCAGGCAGTGCTCTGGGTGGTGGGGTTGCATGCTCCTGCAGAGCAGCGTGGCAGCGTGTCTGGCTCCGGCCAGGCGGCGTGGCTGCCAGACATGCTGCTCTGAGCGGTATGGTAAGGGGACCGGGGGGTTGGATAAGGGGTGGAGGTTCGGGGGGGCGGTCAGGGGATGGGAACAGGGGGGTTGGATAAGGGGTGGGGGGTCCTGGGAGGGGGCGGTTAGGGGACAAGGAGCAGGGGGAGTAGGATGGGTCAGAGGTTCTGAAGGGGGCAGTTGGGGGTGGGAAGTGGGAGGGGGCGGGGGCCAGGTTGTTTAGGGAGGCACAGCCTTCCCTACCTGGCCTTCCATACAGTTTTGCAAACCCAATGTGGCCCTGGGGCCAAAATGTTTGCCCACCCCTGCATTAGAAAGTTGGCAACCCTAGTGTATTGGGCAGACTGTTGGGGTGGCTTCTGAGACCTTATCCACTTAGTTCCCAAGAACTTATCTCAACTCCAAACTTGTCACTGAGATGTCTTTATTGGCATACAATTAAACTGCACTTTAGGTGATCAGGTTTAAGCATAGGGCAGTGGCTCTCAACCTTTCCAGACTACTGTGCCCCTTTCAGGAGTCTGATTTGTCTTGTGTACCCCCAACTTACACCTCACTTAAAAACTATTTGCTTACAAAATCAGACATAAAAATACAAAAGTGTCACAATACACTATTACTGAAAAATTGCTGACTTTCTCATTTTTACCATATAATTATAAAATAAATCAATTGGAATATAAAGACTATATTTACATTTCAGTATATAGAGCAGTATGAACAAGTCATTGTCTCTATGAAATTTTAGTTTGTACTGACTTCATTAGTGTTTTTTTATGTAGTCGGTAATGAAACTAAGCAAATATCTATATGAGTTGATATACCCCCTGGAAGACCTCTGCATACCCTCAGGGGTACACGTACCCCTGTTTGAGAACCACTGGCACAGGACATAGGTTCAGAGCATACCACACTTCTAAAAATAAAAAAGAAAATCTCTATCTTTATATACATTTACACATTACATTGCATTTATTATACATTGCGTCACATGGAGCAGGTCCTCAAGGAATCAATTATGAAACACTTAGAGGAGAGGAAAGTGACCAGGAACAGTCAGCATGGATTCACCAAGGGGAAGTCGTGCCTGACTAACCTAATTTCCTTCTATGATGAGATAACTGGGTCTGTGGATGAGGGGAAAGCAGTGGATGTGTTATTCCTTGACTTTAGCAAAGCTTTTGATACGGTCTCCCACAGTATTCTTGCCACCAAGTTAAAGAAGTATGGGTGGATAGAAAGCTGGCTAGATCATCGGGCTCAACGGGTAGTGATCAATGGCTCCATGTCTAGTTGGCAGCCGGTATCAAGCGGAGTGCCCCAAGGGTCGGTCCTGGGGCCGGTTTTGTTTAATATCTTTATTAATGATCTGGAGGATGGTGTGGACTGCACTCTCAGCAAGTTTGCAGATGACACTAAACTGGGAGGCGTGGTAGATACACTGGAGGGTAGGGATCGGATACAGAGGGACCTAGACAAATTAGATGATTGGGCCAAAAAAAACCTGATGAGGTTCAACACGCACAAGTGCAGAGTCCTGCACTTAGGACAGAAGAATCCCATGCACTGCTACAGACTAGGGACCGAATGGCTAGGTAGCAGTTCTGCAGAAAAGGACCTAGGGGTCACAGTGGATGAGAAGCTGGATATGAGTCAACAGTGTGCTCTTGTTGCCAAGAAGGCTAACGGCATTTTGGGCTGTATAAGTCGGGGCATTGCCAGCAGATAGAGGAACGTCATCGTTCCCCTTTATTCGACATTGGTGAGGCCTCATCTGGAGTACTGTGTCCAGTTTTGGGCCTCACACTACAAGAAGGATATGGAAAAATTGGAAAGAGTCCAGCGGAGGGCAACAAAAATGATTAGGGGTCTGGAGCACATGACTTATGAGGAGAGGCTGAGGGAACTGGGATTGTTTAGTCTCCAGAAGAGAAGAATGAGGGGGATTTGATAGCTGCTTTCAACTACCTGAAGGGGGGTTCCAAAGAGGATGGAGCTCGGCTGTTCTCAGTGGTGGCAGATGACAGAACAAGGAGCAATGGTCTCAAGTTGCAGTGGAGGAGGTCTAGGTTGGATATTGGGAAACACTATTTCACTAGGAGGGTGGTGAAGCACTGGAATGCGTTACCTAGGGAGGTGGTGGAATCTCCTTCCTTGGAGGTTT